ATATATCTCAGTCAAGGTGGGGATTAAAACTGCACTTCAGTTTTAGCTAATATGCTTTGTATTGTTACCAGCTTGCCTGCGGGCTAGCTACTGTATATTTGATCTACACTATCATCGGACCTGTGAAGAGGCTCTCGCTTTTGTGTGGGTCAGCCATTAAAACAGAAAGAGAGTGGGTAAGTGCAGAGCCTGTGATGATACACAAACAAGCTGACATGAGAGAACACAGCTCAAGCAGTTATTCAGTCGACAAGTGAGTCAGGGCAACTGTGGTGGCTTCTCATGTTACAGAACATATCATGCACATATGATGGTGTGACTGTCTAACCACACACTGGCTTTGATAATCCCTTATGAATGTTGCAAGTGAACATGTTGTCAGGTTGTTGGTGTGTACCTGCTGACTTTTATCTCTCAAAGGACATATTTCTTTTTGTCATATAAATTCCCTTATCTGTGATGTAAATAAATAATTTCAAAAGACTGATCCATTGTGTCAGACTCCCTCTAATGAGCTTCTCTTCAGCAAAGTGCATTGTGGGATAACCCTTGTCAATGCAAGGCCTTCTCCAGATGGGCTGAGCAGCTCAGGTTACACCACATTTTTCAGTGCCCCCTCTATCCCACCGCCCCCCTGGCCCCTTTCTCCATCTCTCTCTCTCACAGTTTCCTGGATGGGTAGAAGGGGCTGAGACAGTGCTTTGCCTGTGTTCTAATGCAGACTGCAGAGCATTAGTGAAATAAGATTATCTTCATTCTTACACAATGTCTGGCTGGAGGTGGACAGAGGTGTGAGTTGGGAATGTGAGGATGCCATTATTAGACCATTAGACTACGTGATGGGGGAAGATGCCTCATCAGCAACATGTCTGCTGGTGCTCAAAGACCCAGGTGTGTATTGGTATCTCCAGAAAACCATTCGGATCTCAGGCCAGAGGGGCACACAGCAGGGGTAATTTATTTTTCTGAATGGTTAGTCAGTAACAAATATGCAAGTCTTCTTCAAACATCCTTTCAAGTTTGCAAGTCAAAGAGAGCAATGGTTTCTCAGGTTGCTGCCCAACCCTATGCTCTGGATGAGGGGTAGGAGATTATTGCTTGTTAGAGCAAGCAGGGATTGGAGAGCAAATAGTTTGTGCATATGTGTGCATGCCCATGTTGGAGTGTGTGCATATGTGTGGGGGGTGTAGGGCTCAGAATGCATGTATTAAGACACGATTAGTGGAGATTAAAGCTCTGCCCTAAAGTCTGCCTGCACGACTCCAGGCAACAAGAATGACCAATCTCTCCCTTCTCACCCTGCATTGGCCCCTGTGGAGCCGGGCCACTGAAGCCCTGGCTGCAGCCTTGTCCACCGACTGGGGAGGATCAATAATGCTGCATCCCCTCTGCCCAGTGATCTTCTACCTCTAAGCATATTGCCTCCAGGGCAGAACACAAGCACTCACACGGTAGCTTGACTGCCTAGACTGGATAGCTTTAATGACATCAGGTTTAAAGTAAATTGATGGATGTGATGATTAAAGGAGTGCACTGCAGTGTGGTGCATGATAACTGTAACAGTGTCGCATGCAGTGTAGTCATTTTCCTGGCATTGGATTTTTTTAAGACATAGAAAATAGATTCCACTCCTGTTTATTTCCAGAATGCTATACTGTAAAACCAGGCAGGGAAAAAAGGAATAATCCATCTGTCAGTTTCTTTTTGTCAATCATGAAACCACAGTCCATACTATTTTCAAATAGTTTTATTTTGAAGTGAAACTTTGCAAAGGGCGAAATTTTTTACTTTTTTATACAGTAATTTAAAGCTACAGTATGTAACTTAAGGTAGCACTAGCATGAAACTCCAAATCAGTCCACTTTGCTCCTTCCAGCACTCCCTGTCCCTGCTCCAGGGGCGTTACTAGACATAAAGCTCTACTGGGGCACAGGCCCCCCCATTACCGAACCACAATGCTTTTTTTCTTGAATGTCTGCTACATGAATGAAATGTGCTATAGCCTACATTGCACTATGAACTTGCCTTGCTTAGCCCAGTATTCCACTGCCATACGGCTGCTACTGAAACTGAAACAGCTACCGGTAAAGGTAAAAATGTAGATATGTTAATCTTTATGAAAATATTTATTTCATAATCGATTAAGAACAATCTCAACATATTTTTATGGCATAAAACTCTGGCCCTGTATTGCATATTTCTTTGCATTGTTCTGCATCTCACACTGTCAAGTAGCCCCAGTTTGATTTGTCAAATGTAAACTATCAACAAATAATTAATTTAAAGAAAGATGCAACCAGTTTTTTTTCTTTTTCCTTTATTTATTTTTGTTGTTGTTCTAACTCCTAAGGCCACATGACATGTCGATGCTCCACTTACTTCAAAATTGTATGGTACAATGGATGGTTGGCGGCCCCACACCTGTCTCCATGTACAGACAGCTTCCTCCATACTTTCCCTTCCTGCCTCAGTTTCACCTGTTAAAAATGCATAAAACAAACAATATTTGGACTCAGTGACAAGAACATCAAGTATGTTATAGGCTATTCATTAAATGCAAAATGAATAGTCCAACATTTAAATAAACCCCTACATGTGATGCATTATGCAGCATATTTGGCATTCATTTTATTTCATGTCAATAAACAGCGTTTTAGGAGTAGTCCAACTGATTATATGCATTGATGTACAGAGCTCTACTTTATCTCACATTAAACATCTGCCGCCTGGTTACATACTAACTAACTAAAAATGATTATGTGATTTTACTGGGGCACAGCAGATCAATACTGGGGCACGTGCCCTCAGTAAAAGGGGTCTCATGACGTCTGCGCCCTGCTCCACTGTGCTGTACTACAATCTGCCACACTCCACTGTGCTCTGCCCAGCTCTTCAGATATTTGTTACAGTAAGTGAGAATGCAACAAAACTTACTGGTTAAGCAGAAACAATTGAAATCTCTATTTGTTAGAGAGGTTAATCCTGTTCAAAGCTTTTTAAAAGCTAATATCTCTGCACTGTTGCTAGTGCTGCTCAATGAGTCTGAGTCACAGGAGGCTTTGACAGCACCTCTCCACATTAAGACAAGTTCTGGAACAGATTTTGACAAGAACATTTGAAAATGTTATATATTGTAGCTTTAAATTAAACTGAAAAAGTGTACAGGCTTTGAGGGGCCAGCATTTTAAGACTTTTGAAAGGCCACACAATGGATGGAGTCGAGAATTCTGTTCTGTTTTGAACCTGAGCCATTTCATAACTCACACGGGTTCATCTTCAATGATACAGCTGAAAGGTTTGAATGCACTTGAGTGAAGCTGAGTAGACTGATAGATAGACAGAAGAGGGACAGGCTTAGGTGTCATGAGGTGTAGACCTCCTCACCCTGCAGTGTCAGTTTGGTATGCATGTGTGCCACACACCTACTGTACACTGACTCAAACATTCTAAAGTTTACTCTTTGCTACACAGACCCACAGCATGCAGTTCAGCTCACACAAGGGGTCCATTGTAAAAATCAGAGGAGAGAGTATAAAACAAAGCAAGAAGGAAAATTTGATTTTTTTTCTGTGTGAATGCAACCTGGTTCAGCTTTAATCTGTAAGAAGAGCAGGGTATATAATGACGCCTGACAGATTAAGGCCAGAACGATTCTCTCTCTGTTGCGCTCTGCAACAGAAGGGCCCTGCTAGCAAATCCCAGGCTTTAAAGCAGAGGAGGTTCGGGCAGCTTATGATGTAATCATGGCCCTGTCTGTCATGGCAGGAAGGCGGGGAGCTTTAGAGGACAGTGTAGAGGTTATTGAGTTTGGTGACAACTATGTCCTCACAAAAAAGGAGGCAAACATATTCTTAAAAAAAGGCCAGATAAAGTTTGTAAAGTTGTAACCTGTGAAACTCAAAAAGTCTAAAATAAAACTGTATGTTTCCTTTGCTATAATAAAAGAGGTGGAAATAGGCAATTTTCTTCACAAGTGAGCTTCTAGTCAGGAGTGAAAGTCACAAGTGAGCTTCTAGTCAGGAGTGATGTTCATTTTGAGGCCTAAATAAGATCATTTCAACAAAGTTAAACTTTGATGCTGCAGATATTTTGGCAACACAGTAAATTAATAATTAAAATATTGAAGCACCATGTTTCTCTCTTGCTACAGTGTTGCAGAGTTATAATGGTGTAACTGTTTCAATATTACTATTAAAGGTGCTAGTTGTGTTAACATGTTCACGTTAGCAAAGATACTTAGCTTTTAGCTAGCTTATGCCATAGCTGGCACATTATCAACATACAGCTGATTGTATTTGCATCTGGTATGTTTTGTTTTTATCTGTCTACTCTGTGCAGACTAGATTTGATTTCACAGACTGGTTTACATAAATGTTACTGGATATGATAACATCATTTTTTATATGAATGCTTGAAGAGGGTAACAAGTAGTTCAAATTTAAAGCCTGAAATAAAAGTGAAGTGATAAGTTTCACTGGGTTTGTCAGGGACTCTAAAACCATCATATTCAGGACTGGTTCCAGCCTGTCGGTGCATTAGCTTGTAACTGCTCTGGACTGAATTTGCAGTCATGTTTTTCAGTCTGACAAATATAAGCCTGATATTTACTGCTCTGTTTTAGTATTTGCCAACTTCTGAGAAAAATGTTCTTGCTAGATTCCCAATAGTCCTCTTCAACTTTGTCTACCCTTAGGAGCCCGACATGTACTGTAGCTATTGTAAAATAAGTTTATTGGGATTATGCTGTATATGGCCACTTGCATAGGTTGATAAGAGTTAGGAAATGGCACCATACATTAAACATGCAATATATCAAACCCAAACAATCAGCCAAGATGCTAAAGGCATTGCGGAGCTGCCCTTATTGCATGTAATCATTTAAATCAGTGTTAATATGAAAATTATTAACTAATGTAGCTTTAACAATTCGTGTATCCCTTGATGGTTAAGCCTTTTGGATGAACAGTGTACTGATAACCAAGACAGTAACATTATGAGTGGTAAACAGCAGCCATTTTATTGAACTTCATTTTTTTTAAATACATAGGTTTGGTGGGAGCTAAGTAGATTCTTAGCACACATTTTGAATGCAAGATTTAAAGAAATTATTTTTGATATTTACATCACAAATAATGCAACTCCTGTCCTACATGAGCAACTTCCTGTGATATACAAAGTGGTGTACGCCACCGAGGCCGAAATGACATATAAGGGAGTTCATGTAAAAAAATTAACATATACTGTAAATGCATACACAGTAAAGAAATTTGGTAGACAATGTGGCTGATTCAAGAAGTCAGCTCAGCCATCCAGCAGTATAAAACACATTGATGTACATCCTGAGTCTTCACAAATCTTGGCATGTGTGTGGACAACGGTAAAACAGCACAAAAAAGCACATTATAAGATAGTATTTTAGCATAATATTTTATCATCCAATGAGAAAAGTGGGTGTGTCCACAGCTCAGATGCTTACACTAAGACTTTTAGGTGAGCTGAGGGGGGAAATTTAGAACAGTGAGCAAGGAAACAGAGAGGGGTGATTTCTGACAATGGCACTGTAATGTAAATGTGTCCTAATAACAGAACATTTAGGCTAAAAGATGATACTGAAATCAAGCAGCAGTGGCTTTCCTCCTGGGTTTTTTGGTTCATCTTTGTTTTAAGTATAGGTTAATTGTAAAGAAATAAATTACTCAACATCACTGAGCTAAAAAAAAAGCAAAGCTAAATTGGGAAAAAAATTTACACCAACAAAAGCAATATCTTTACATAGTAAACACAATCCACTGATAACTGACTTTTCATTCTGCAGATGCGCATTTAAAAATATATTTGACATTGTACACAGCATGATGTCTTGGAAAACAGTAGGACAGACAAATCTCCAAGGTGGCCATTCAGTGCCTTCTACTCCTCCCAGGCTCCTAAGTGTCACTGCTCTAGGGTCACAACCTCCACTGCCTGGCCATCCAGCGTGACAGTGTTATCTATGCGTGTAGCCACAGGTGCCATGGCAACCTGGACAGGCCGGCTGCCTTGGGCAAGGCTTGTCACAACAGTCTGGTACATGCTGACTGGAATCTGGACCAGACCTGCAGAAAGGGAGTGTAACAGTTTGGATTTAGATACACAGGACCAACACCATTAATAATGCTAAGCAGGCACAAACAAGAAATCTTCTTATGAGAGTTTATGTCTGATGTGGTGCTTGGAAGGCAGTCGAGTCCAAGAGACAGGAGGCAGCCATGTTTCAGAGATGGCATTTCTGAACAATGGTCCAATTGAACGTCTTCAGCTACCCCCATACCCAGCTGTGAGTGCGTGCCTGTAGGGATTATTACTGCGGTCACGTGTGCCTCTTCCCCACCCTACAAGCTGTCAGTGTGACAGGAAGGCAAGAAGGTCAGTGTAGAGGATGGTAGTGGCTCACGTCCAGCCAGCTCCCATTACTGTGAGCTAAGAAGTTGGACATACCCAATAAACATTACACATGAATCCATTATATATACGTCCATATACCTGAGATGACACAGGGCTGTTTTCAAATATAGTATATTTTAATTCCTACAATATTTAAAAAAATTTTTTAGAGCAAAATATGAAATTCTACAACTTCATTATTAGCAATCTTATGTTTATTCAAAATAAAATGAGGCCCCATTTGTCAGGTTGGTAATATGGACTCTAGAAAAGCCTCTTCACTGGTGAATTGTGACAGGGTTAAACTGTCCTAACAGTAACTATGGAAGAGGGTTTACGGACCAAGGTGTCAGCCTGGCACGGTGATGTACAGAGACAGCACAGCTACTGAATGAAGTGCCTCACTTGGCCACGCAAACATGGTTACCAAGGCATTAAGGGCCATGCCTGGTGTGGCCCTATGTGTCAATTAGTGTGTATATGTCTGCATGTGATGTTTGGGCCAGTGCACTTCAAGCGGTGCTCTTCACTCCTATGTAGCGCTACACTACTAGCTAAGGTCAATAGTCAGAAGGAGGACTGGCTCTATTAGTTTTTGTAACTGAGCTCTTGCAGCCAAATGACTGCTTATGGTTTAGGAAGCAAGATTTCAACCAACAAAGGCTGTAGATGTTTGATTTAAAAAATTTGACTCAGTGTACAAACTGTCAAAAACAGACTGGCACACTAGACATATTTCTGCATTTAGCATAATGTTTTACTATGTACTTTTTGCTATTTTTAATTGTATGTGTTTATACATGTATAAAGTCAACCTAGAGGAACTAATTGCGTGTGCTGACAGCTGGCCTAGTGATTAGACCATGACTGATAATGGAGTGGGTCAAAGCTCTTTAGGAGGGCCCCTGAGGGACCTGTTCATGCCCCTGGACTGGTATACTTTAAAGAGCCTATGGCATGCTTTTCCCTGTTTTTTTTTGACTTATCTACAATGTTACAATGGTGAATTATCATCTTAGACATGACCTAAAGTGATCAGAGGATGTGGAGAAAAATACAGGGCCTGAGGCTACTGCATGTCTGGGAATATTCCTGTACAGGGGACTTACTGTTTTACCTGACCGGGTCTAACCTACAAGCAGCCGGCCAGTGAAGCCACCGCCGTGGTTGATGATAAGGTCATCAAGGCAGGACTCCCCCAGAGCACAGTACATGTTTGTTTTTACTGCTTGAGGCCACCGTGTCTGCCACATATGATGTGATGCCGGTTAACGAAAGGATTCTAACGATCCATGATGTTATTGCCGGTGCTACATTACCTGTTGGAATTAATTTCACTACTTTGGGACTGTATGTGGTTGTGTAGGGGAAGATGCAGTGACCACCAGTTGGTTTTACCAACCTTGGAGCAACTTGAGTGAGTGAGGGAGTGATGTTTCCACTGCTGGATGTGTGAGTTTGCTGGCTCTGACCCTGGACTGGAATATCGACCTGAGAGTGATACATGTTGAAATCAGACAACTGGCATTGTGTGCCGTTTGGTTTGTGACCAGTGCTCTTATTAAAGAGACAGTGTTCAGCTTTTACTCATCTGGCCTTATAACTGAGTTCACCCTGGACATTAGCTTTACATGCTGCCCCTGACAGTTGCATGTCTGTTAATGTGTTGTTTCTGTAACATTAGAGAGAATTGTTGTAAAGCTGGAGAAGTTACTAAAATATGGGGTTTCTCAATTACATGCTTTTTTTAGTGTTACACATCTCTTTTCATTGGTACATATACCGTTGTTTACCTATCTATGGAGGAGAAATTCAAATTAATTAATGCCCTCGTGGTTCGTTGTGCTGTTTGCTTTTAATGAAACACCGGCAGCAGAAGTTTTGTGCGTTCATGAACTGTCCTCTCGTTTTTAGGAAGTGACTGGTTTTATCGTTCTGAAATAATTACAGACTATTTGGAGTTATGAGGGATGCAAAGCTAATCTAGAGGTACTAAAATGAGCATTTCATGGGCACGTGTGTGTATTTACCTCATTGTAGGACGGAACTGATTAGAAGAAATCACCAATAATAACAAGATTGGGAGATTGACAAGATGAGAGACTAGCTAAACTTTGTCTGGGTAGAACTTCCTGTTTATTATTTATATTTGTGAGCGTTCGGAATTCGGGTGCTATAATTCAGTTGTTGTATCATTACATTTATTATAATTTACTATGATTCAAAATATTAATCTGCTACAATAAATGACTGAATTGCTAAATGATGCATCAAATCATGGACTCCAAAATCCAAACAAGAAATAATGAGACCATTAGCACCTCAATCAAACTTGTTTCAAACCAACTGCTTTTAAGACAGCAAATTCATATGCCTACCTATAAAACTGGTAAGTGTTAGGTCATAGTGTGCCAACAAAGAGAAAGCCAGGAGTCACTGGAAACACCGGGATAGTATAGAAAAATATCATTATGCTACTTATTGACAAGAAATAGCTTTACCTTTGAGGACACTGACTGAACACATGTCAAAAACGGTTACTAGTGTTATCCAACAAGGATGTGAGGCTGTCACTATAAACTGTTCCAGTCCCAGATGACACCTCCACAGCAGTGTATGCAGTAAACATGGAAGAAGGCTGACAAAAGGCTCATGCAGCTAATGTATCTTTAAAAGAAGGAAGTACTGCTACAAGACACACATACATCATCACAGAGTAGATTAGGGTGTAGGAGCACAGTGGCCTCACCACAGTGCTACTGAAGGGAAGCTTACACTTAGTGAGACTAATTAGAAATGTCTTCAATGGAACAATAACACAGTGAAATAAAGATTGGTTCCTATGTATTCGGCTGTGGCTGTTACATTCATTTATGCAGACAGCTGATGAAATATGATTTATTTAAATGTGCATAAATTCAGACAGAAGATCACCAGATCACAGAAGAAAGAAACAAATTCAACTTCTCTAGATGATGAACCCACTGTCTGAAGAATACACTGTGCGATAATAATCTACACACAGTTGAAAGAAAGAAGCTCTCAGCTCAGTAATTTAGTCTTTTGAGGTGTGTGTATTTTGGATGTTCATGTTCAGGTTGATGATAAAATTACAGATGAATATGTACCTGTGGCATCCTGAACCCCAGCCAGTGCCCCAACAGCAGCCGCTGTCTCTGCAAGGACAATCTGACCTCCACCTTGTAGGGTGGCCTCCGCAAGTGTTGCTACAGCATGGGCTGCTGCCTCACTGCAATACAAACAGACACATATGTTAGATGTTCACACACACGCACTGTCTGCTCACAAACGGCAAGGGTTATTAGAGAGATGTGGGTGAAGAGGTAGGAGTGCATGAGCTCTAAGAGGCTTTTCTAGTCTGGACTTATGGAGAATCTGTCACATCTTGCTAAAGGCCAGGTGCTACGGGTCTAACAAAGTAGTTTTATTAACCAGATCTCTCCAGTGGAATTACCGTGAGCCTATTACCACACCAGCGTTGTTATGAACTAATGGAACTGTTCACAGCTTGGTTGATAATCACTTTTGAGATAGAAATACAGATGGACAGATGAGTAGGAGGAGGAGCTGAGAAAATGCAGACAGTTATGATGCATTCATATCATGGCTGTATGTGGATAATATCCAACTAGATGTTCAGTAAGCTGATGGCAGTGGTATAAAATACTTCTTAGTAAGCCTCGGTGACAGTTTTTCTGTCCAGCAGTAACACTGTGTGCCAACTTGCTGTTCCACAAATTTGATAATTTCACCAAATTACAACCTGTTGTGAGGGATAGCTTTATTACATTGATGTGGAGTTGACAGTTAACACGCAGCAATAAAAGATCTTGCTAACTGTATTTTGCAGTTGACCGTTACGGATGAATTATGTCACGCGATATGGTGCCATTTTTGGTCACAATGTCAACACAGCAGAAAAGATGAGAGAAAGAGGCTTTATTCCCCCTCTGGAGCTGGAAAACAGAGACATAATGTTCCAGAGCCTGTAGAGCAGAGAGCCCAGAGTCGCTGAGCACAGGTAAACAGCAGCAGGAGAGGGAAGGAGAGGGGAGGGGAAGGAGACTCAGGTGGGTGCAGGTAACAAGCCCCGGTGGGACATACCCATACACATCGGATATTATTGCCTTGACAGTACTGCAGTGAAAATCCAGCTAACATCTAAGTACCTCACTAAGGCTAGCTGATGAATTTAGCAAGTTAAAAACCTGTAAGACCTGAAAGATCACAGATATCAAAACTATAGATGGGGAAGTTTCTCTATCACTGGCTAAATGACTGGAGGCTTTAATTTAAGCCAAAGACTAAAGAAAGCGACTTTGTTAATTCTCCAAGATCTGCGTGGCTGATTTCCCTTCAGAAAAACAACATCTATATAATCTGTACATACTTTACTGAATTTGTCACATTATTAAGCCATACTGTATTTATCACCTAGTGTTTTTTCATTACCAAAATTACACTAAGCTGTTAGCACAAGGAAATACTGTATGTGGCTGACAACCAATTTAATGCGTGTGCACCTCACAGGCTAATTAATTACATGCTGACCCAGGATCAGATGTAGCAGACTCACCTCCAGGGGACCTAAGTGACCTGCCCTGACAGTTGTCCCATTCTCATTCAGTTGCTGGAGGTGCCTGTGCAATTATGGATTCTTCTTACACTCTGCAGTATTTGCTGGCACTACTGCAAGTAAGTCAGCACCCAAGGGGGTTGTGTGAGTGAAAGCCAAACACAGAATCCTACAGTATATGAACATTCTGTACTAGAAAGTTGGTGACAGCTCAGCAGTGACACCTTTATGCCGTCACCTCTGCTTTTCTGTTGCTAGCAGTCCAATCCAATTTCTAACTATGCCTTTCTGATCTGATTCTGTAATTCTTGAACTCTTTCTTTTGACCTCTGCTGGCAAGTCGAGGTCTAGGCCATCTAAGGTGCTGCGTTACACTTGTGATTTAAAAGCCCAGTTTGCTCCAAAACTGCAAAAATTGAACATTCAGTTTTTCATCACCTGTTGAGAGCCATTGTGACAGTGGCTCCAGGTTGAATCTCCTGACTGGCAACAACAGCAGCTTCAGCCAGAGATGCTACCGCCTGTGTGGCCTCTGATGCTTGAGTGGTTTGGATTGTCATCTCCCCGCCCTGGAGGGTTGCCCAGTTCTGCTCCACCTGGAGAGAAATATAATTTACTGCAGAAGGTAGCTGACCATCAGCATGGCATTAGAAGAGTTGTGAAAAATTGCTGTTATTGGATTGGCGGTCCTCTGGCTTGTGTTTTGATGCACTTAACAAAAATCACTTCATTTGCTGCAGTAAATATTTTTATTTGTCATTAAGGCATTAGTGGCAACTCTCTTCAGTTAATGGATTTATGAAATTAAAAAGTTGTTGACCTGGGCTTTATTAGTGCAGTTATGAAGAAAAAAAACTGCACACTTGTAGGTTACATATTTTGAGTGGCAGTGTATGCAGCCTATGATCAGAATGTGTGTTTATATAAAAAGTGATTTAGAGGTTTGTGCATGTTGGCGATACCTCTCCATCAGTCACAGTGGAGTAGTTAACCTGTGCCACCGTCACACCAGGCAGCTCTGAGGCATCTGCCAGAGTGGCAACTGTGTGTCCTGTGCCAACCTGAGCGAGATACAGTCCCAAAATACAGAAAGAGAACACCAAGTGTATTAAACTTTAGTAAAACTAAATAGGATTGTGACTTTAAAAAGGTCCACAAATGATCAAACTACAAAAAGAAAAAAAAAAAAAAACCTGAATAAGCGAGACTGTTCCATCAGGGTTGTTGATGGTCTGTACTACAGTCTGTGAGGGCACAAGGTGAGCGATGCCCTGCGCTGTGGTCAAGTGGTGCTGAGTGGTTGTTGATGTAACTATCTGGTGGTCTTCAAAAGCATACAACAGATCCTCACGGCCATGTTGCTTGTAGCAGTTCTTCACAATGGTCCGCAGAGCCTGCGTCCAAGACACCTGGGGAAGTAAAAATATGAGTTCATGAGTATAATTTAACTGATGCCAGACAATGAATGCCAGATTATCTACTGTCCCACAGGTAACTGGTGGTCAGGATATAGAGTGTCTATAGATGCCAGGTCATCAGATACTATTTACACCTGAAATAGGCAGACGTGGCACCATTTGGAAAATGCTTTTTACTATTTTACCTCAAATATACAATGTAGAAATGGAGGCTTAAGAAGAATAAAGGTTATTTGAAGCAGGGGAGAAGTGAAATACAGTATTTCCCTGTGGGTACCAACAAAGTATGACATTATCACATCAATTTTTTTCTCACCCTCTGTTTCTGCTCCTCTGTGCGGACATCGCTGCGGACATTGGCCCAAGGGATGTCCTCAGGCCACCACACTGGCTTGCAGCTCTCCTTACCCCAGCCAGGCTTCCCTCGGCCTGTTGAGTACTTCAGCATCTCTGGGATGAATGCTCGCAGCTGGGCCTGAAGCAAAACACAGATGCATGGAGACAGAGTTGACGCAAACATCAAAACTCTAACACGGTGAGCACACACGCCCTTGAGCAGGAAGCAGGAGGCTTGTATTGATCGGGTACCTGCTGGCAGGTGCTGAGGTGGTCAAGGTCTATAAATAGAAGCACACTTTCTAAAAGGAGACCAAAGCACTCATATTTATTAACAGATCAATCTATGGCTGTGGCTCCAGCCTGGTGCATTAGACAGATACCAAGGGAATAACAGGGGTGGTTCGACACAGTTCAGCAATCAAACTGTCCCAGCACAAGCTCCAGTACACTCAGTGTAAGTATTCATAAGGATACGCGGGTCAATTTTGTTAAAAAGAAAATCTATATCAAACAAAAACATTAGATTAACTTTGATCACTCATGACATGCTATTTTATGGAGTTGTGCACAGACTCAAATCACACTTTCATTACTGTGAATTGACTGTATTGCTGAGTGTGTCCACTACACTTGAGCATACCATTCACAAACAATAAAGTAAGAGAACCAAGTCTTTTTAGTGCAGGTCAATAGCAATAATACAAAAATATGGGCGAAAATTTCATTTTTAAATTTTTAATCTTCTCCCCTGGGAGACTTGTTAAATAATATGTATTCATGTAACAAGCTATTACAAATCCCACTTCATTCATCTCGCTTTGGAAATAGCTGGATTAATAAAACCAGTCTTAAAATAGCAGCTGGGTACTTGAAATTGGTTCATTCATGAACCCTGATGTTATATTAAGTGGGCAATTTATTAGGAAAACCTAGCTAAAGCTAATCCTACAGTATAGTAATAAATTCTACCTTCATCAAGGTTATAATGTTCAGTTCTTTTGAACCTAATGGAGAGAGGTGTTGATTAACTCATAATGTATGGTCTTTCTAGAGAACGCGGTGAGGTTGAACTGTAATGTGTTATACTTCGAGGTCTAATATTTAGTTTTAGCTAGGGTTACCTGATACACTACCACCTGAGTAGGGGCTTAATGAAAGCAGATAACCCAGAAAGAGCTGACCATAGACCTAGTCTATTTTTAATTGCTTTTGAGTGATGAGTGCCTCCTTTCCTTTATTTCTTTCTTTATCTGCCATGTTGCACAGGAGGCCTTCTGAAGTTGTGACCCAAATCAGCGAGACGGAGTGCATGGTGGCCGTAATCTAATCTAATTTACTTGCTATTGATCATCCTCTAGCATACATACTTCAGTGAGCAGCATGCAAAGCCATTCACCATCACCACAACACTTCTAGAATAGGCATACACTCCCACTCACTGACAAGTGGGGGTGGGGTTCAGTGCCAATGTCCTCAGTGTCCTGGTAATATGCAAGCATCACCAAAGGATTATATTGCACAATGAGGCACTGCAGTGTCTGGCTGCCTTGACATCATGGACTAAATTTGGTTCCAGGAGAAATAAATCCCCCCCAAGCCCCCTTTCCAACTCACACTCACAAACCATCAATACACAGTTCTTCATCACATCACATAGAGATAGAGAGATATGGCAAAATGGATCTTGATAGAAAATGGATGTTTGTTATTTTACCACAGCAGCTTTAGAAAAACAAAGGCTGCCACCACTGGGCTGACAACTTGGATTAGCGAGGAAAAAAGAACTTAGTAGCAAAAAGATTCTTATATTTCCACCAATGAAACGGTGGGTGAATGTGGCTGTGTGTGCAAGGCCAGATGGCCTAATTACAGCGACTCCTAAGTTAAGTGGCATGTTGTCCTCACACCCACTACCCTACCCCCCAATCCTAATCCCGCTAGCAATGGTCCAATCAGCATTCAGGAAGGTGGCTATGTTGCCAGGTCCCTGGCCCTAACAAGGCTAGGGGGTAATTATGGGCTCAGGCCAGACCCAGGATCACCTGCTACAGATGCTCCATATATCAGGCCATGGCATCTGCCTATATCACCTCATTTATTTAGTTATACGATTTATTCAGATGCACAAAACCTACTGCAGATGTTTGCAGAGAAGAAATTAAAGGCACTCCTGATATGCATCAGGAGAACTATGTTTCAATGATTTCTTTTTCATTGCAGAGCTCTCATCTTCATGCTTGCCATTTCCACAGTTCAGCCTTGCCTAGAGAGACTGGACAACATCCTGTCTCCAATGCATGACACACATACCTCTAAAACCCCCCACCCACACCTTTCTACCTGGCTTGGCCAAGCTAAGTGAGGCAATAGGTTACTCACAATAATATCATCCTACAACCTCCAGAAAAACAAGCGCCAACTAAGAGAGGCCCTCCGAGGACTTGTCTTGCCCTGGGATTGGCTACTTTGCTCCAAGGGTTGAGGACTGTCTCTGAGGGCTGCTGTCATACTGGTTACTCTGATGATGATCCAGAGAATGCGTCAGCACTGGGATGGCAGAGTAAACAAGCTGGGCTCCCTTGGGTGAAGAGAGGACTCAGGCTGCCTGTAGTGCTAATGTTGTAGTGAAAGGCCAACCAAGAGCAGTCTACTCTGCACTTACTCTCAGAACTTGTGGATCAAAGGCAGAAGGTTTGGCTTGTTTTCAGAAGCAACCACTACTTATACAGGAGGCATACCATTTGCCTGATTTACAAAGCTGATAGTTAAGCTCTTCTTCACAACAGACATGAGACACAGTCTGTGATTCTGATTTGTTGCCAACTGGTGCCCTCTGCTGGGAATGCAGACATTGTGTTTGTTTCTCAGAGAATGACAGGGCATTTTGAATTTGTCAGTTTCTACAAAGGAGCAGCTGTATACAGTGGTCCCTCGCTATAACACGGTTCACCTTTCGCGGCCTCGCAGTTTCGCGGATTTTTTTAGTGCAATTTTGCATGCTTTTTGCATGCCGTGTCTCCTGTACAGTACAGAATGCGTTCAGCTTGCCAAATTTACATAAATCTTCGATCGCTAGCAGTGTGACTCTGAAGTGCTGTACTGTATGTTTGCAAGTTTTCTCCCCAACAAACCCCACAATGTCGACGAAACGTCAAAGGGACCTGCGGTAGCACCCAGAAGGCAGAGGAAGATGCTAACCATCCCACACGAAGGTTAGAACTTTGAGAGTGTTTAAACCAGAGAGAAAAGTGTGAAAATGTTAATGCCTGTCCGAGAAAAGTGTATAAAGTGTGTAGTGAGGGGTTTTACAGCCTTAAAACATCTATAATCATTGTAAAAAATAAAGCTGACTACTTCACGGATTTCGCCTATTGCGGGTTATTTTTAGAACGTAACTCCCACGATTAACGAGGGACCACTGTAATACCAAAATATACAAGGCTCTTTTAATTAGGCGGTTTGGACCATAACAGATAAACAGACAGCACTGAGCCTGACCTGGGTCATCTTGTCCACAGAGACAGGGATGCCATCAATGGTGAGGGGTGGCAGCTCTGAGGCCAGCTCTCCACCAGCAGGAGCATGTTCAGCCAAAGCGTTCTCCAGATCCTCCAACATCATACTCTTATACTTCCTCACCTGGAGGACAGAAACAGTTGTGGAACAGTGTTTCTGTTTAGTGCTGGAACTACTTGCTAATTATCAGTTAAAATGACAGAAAATGAACAGAATCCATTTGTAGATCAACATGTGTTAAACATGCTATAACTAACACACCCACCACATTCTCCAGAGGAGCAGCACCAAAAACCTTGAACACTGGGTTTGGTTTGGAGGGAGAGATACACAGCACTATGGCCTGTTGACCCACTCTGGTGGTGTACTCATCCAGTGTGGCTCTTAGTTTCCTGTAAGCATACATCAACATTTATTTTCTGCTTCAGAATAAAAGCAACAAAGATACACCATGTCTCGGAGAGATATTTCTGGCATTGTAGCTGTTGAAGGACAATACACAGGAGAGGGATTAGGGAGAATTTGTTTTCTTGGTGCTTAAAGCTCACCTGAGCAGACGGGTCTGCTGCCTCTTGCGGATTGACGGGTTTGATTCAAAGATGTGAGGCCTTTTTCTTTTCTTACCAGTTGCTACAGCAGCAGCAGCTGCCATGCCTACTGGCCCTGAGAGAGAGGGAGAGAGCGAGAGGGAGAGAGAGAGAACAAGCTTGTGTGTTGGTAAGACTACAGAAAGGTTATCCAAACAAACACCATACTGTAGTTTGTGTAACTGTAGCCTTTTCAATTATTTTTAATTAAGATTTTAACAGTTTTCAGAAATGCATGGCTTATAAGGTTGTTATTATTCTTCAGTTTGATTTGGATTCATGGCGGCCACAACTTTGTCAGGTGCTTGACAGATGGCAGCATACTGCAGTGACACTACCTCCACAAAACAGTGCACTGGCACCACCTGTTGTTCAGTTAACAGCATTATATGTGTATGTTTTACTTGATCTCAGATTCAAGAGATGGGTGATAAGAACACCAGCTAAAAACACACACACAGCACAGAATGTCTGGTTTGGTATGTGCAAATGAGCCTTTCTCCCTTTTGGAACAACCAAATGCAGGTGAGCAGTGAGTCCGCTCACCTGCAGCAGCCAGGTGGGCGGTGACCTCATCTGTGCCAGCCGAGTTGAGGATGTCCGTGTCATCATAAGGATCATCATCTGGTGAAGATGTTGAGTCTTCCTCAGCACTCATCATGGACGTTTCAGTGTATGTGGACACGTGTACCTATACACAGTAATCAACCAGGTAAATCGGGTATACGTCTCTAAACAAAATATCATGATACTCATTTGTGGCTTCAGTCTTTATATAACATCTATTAATAACTGAATGTGCTATGAAAGATGATTATGTCTTCATCCTTCCTGTTATTATTGTTATAAATGCACCTGCTGGACCTGGCTGACAGCACTGGCCTCGATGGTGGTCATGGGTTCTGCTGAATGAACAGCATGATCCTCCATTATTGGCCACCTGGTCTACACAGCTAGATACAGTACAATGGCTGAGGAGAGGACATAAAGAAAAAATGCAGATGAGTATATGTATACAGTAACTATTACTGCAAATTCTACTATTATTTATATTGCAAGATGTACTTTGTCATGTGACAGAATAACTCTATCACACCAATCACAAAACTCAGGCTTATTCTATGAATACAATATGTAGGTAAACATAACTGGAATTAAAACTAACACAGACTCATCAGAAATGCTTATATTTATGTGAATTTGAGTGCGTAAATTCAAATTTATGGATTTCCTGAGACCATTAAACTCTACAAACTGAAGACATAACTGTGAGCATGCACAGCAGGTACTTTCATTTTTTATTTTTCCAGTAAGTGGTACAGTACTTATAAATCTCCTCACTACTGTCAAAAAGTGTATATTAATAATATAGAGATATGTCTGTAGTTGTTTGTATTGTTAAAGTGCAGTCATTGCACCACTGATGCTCTGCTTCGAGGGGGCTTCATACCAGATCAATAAGGAATTATATTTGTAATGTTACTGTAATCAAAAGCATAAAAGTAATGTCTGATTTCCCTGTTTATTGTGTCAGATCATAGGTCTTACAAGAAATAAATTAGCAAGATATGTATTCAATAAATTGTGCCATGCAATATTTACCATTGTTTAAATTCAAGTGACTGAAAGGTCATTCCTAATGTTTAAAGAGTAGGTAAGAAAAGTGCAGTCAATGTATGAAAGGGAGAATGTCTACTCATTGGTGAAGTGTGTGTGGAGTGAAGAGCCATACAGTTAGACAGAAGTGGGAAAATCTCACAAAAAGTTCATACAGTATGCATTTGTTGAATTTGAAACACATGACTTTTTATATGGTCAGCCTGGACACCCTTTTGAATGAAATGAACCACTGCGGCAATTTAATTGGGACAAACTGTTCACTTGATTCATAATGGGGAGCTGATTTAAGCAATATTTATTTGAATATATCTGTTTAATGCACAACTGCTTTCTCTTTGAAAGAGGGACAGAAAAAGAAAAATGACAAAACGTTAAGTAGTCAAAAGTCTCACATTAAGTGCAGCCAGATAACTGTACTCCATATATCCACTGTACGAACTAACTACATGGGCTGTAGCTGCTGAGAGGACCAACACGATGATGCACGAACTGCTGCACGACTTACAATAACACTGACATGCTATCTTATCCATGGTCTGCAGTAAGGGTTATTTTTCCACAGCACCTACAGTAGAACGTGTGCATATATTCCTGTATTAAATAGGTACAGTTAGTTATATTACTCAAGTGTTACAGTGTTGTAATGTTGTCCGACTTGCCGGTTGACGACTGACCATCTGAGCTAACGTTAAACTAGCAATGTCCTACATTTGGCTAAGTAGCTAGCTGGCTAACAATTTTGCGTTGTAGTTTAGGTCATCTCAATGGACATGGACGCTGACTCAGAAAAACAAATGTTTTGATGCTCCCCGAACATAAATTATTTTGCTGTACAATGAAAGGTAAAGCTCAGTAACACCATAGCTCCCATAAAACCCGTACAATATGAAACAAAACAGTTACGACAGGCCCTACGGCCTGCGTCTCATCCAGAGCTATTCTACTTTATCTCGGCTTATTGTCGATACGCGCCTAAAACACGATTCCCCTCTTTCGCCCCAACGCTGCCGGGTTCGATGATGCGGCTGCGCCGGGGCTGAAATAAATGGAGATTGCGCGGTAGGGCACTAACCTCAGAGCGGCTGCGCTGCTTCGGGCCTGCGCCGTACAGCAGGGATGGAGCCCAGCTCTAATGGAGGACAGAGTGGAACCAGACAGCAGCAAACACCGCGCGCATGCAATAACGATCTACACTAATGATGCCTTCAGGTGCCCCTCCCGAGTTTCTGTCTCCAGGACTCGCAGTCATACACGTTGAAGTGCTTTTAGTGACAAGTATCACAACAGACAGGCGCTAAAATCTCTTGTCTAAGTGGCCATCCTTTCATTTAACTTACTGGGTGTCATTGAAACGGCACAGCTGATCGTCTGATGATGACATACTAGCGCGACGAAGGCTACTGATGCATTAGTAAAGTAAACTGTATTTTGATTTCTTATTCCGCACATTTTGCAAAACCTGTAGCTATATGTTTTAAATCAGCGATTCAGTTGAAGATAGCTACTTAATACGTTAATCGAGGGATATTTTAAGGGAGGTAAGTTTTCAGACATTATACTTAATTAGTAATGACCAAACTCAAAAAGCATTTGTAGTTTGTTGCCAAACCAGTATTACAAAACGCATAAAAACAAATAATATACTAATTTATTGGAAGTGCAACATTAAAAACACTAAAAAGGTAATATAACTATATATATTCTCACTTCATTCACGAATGTAGGACCATTGGGTATCATACCCCCCCAAAGCACAATGCCTGTCCCGTGTTTTTACTGAATAAAGATCCATCCGTTTCCTTCATTCACGCACTCTCTTAGTGCCATTATTTCCGACAGTCGCTGAATGCCACATAAGACCTAGCAAGCCACGCCCCCTTTCTTCCCGCACACTGAGCTTCTGGCGTAGTTGTACGCTGACAGACTGAAGTTGTGGTAAATGTTATTTGCTTGCTACAAAACAAACAAAAAGTATTTAAGGTTAGTTGTGTAGTGTTAACAAAAGCGCATATCTCAATAAAACAAAAAACTTGACTGCTAAGAAAAACGACGCTGGACGAAAGCAAGTTTTTCCAGGTTACCCCAATCAGCTGCACCTGTGTCATTCAGGTATATGGCTGTTTTCCCACATGAACCCATTGAATCTCCTAATAGATTATATTTGTACATTTGTACTTTTTAAGTTTGTTAAAAATATATCTACAAGCCACATTTATTATAGGCATCAAATCCGTACTTCAACAGAGGTTTGATCTATGAAGGTAGATCTTTTATTTTATTTTATTTTTTTACCGAAGTATGAAGTGAAACTTCAAGAATCGCATATGTTTTTTACTGTGCAAATTTTATTTCCAAAAACGTATGTAATGAGGGAACGGTAAAAGTAAGCATTTCACTACCAACATATATTGTTTATTATAGCCTTTATGGTTCTCTGTATCTCGTAAATTATTATATTTTCCCATATTTTGTCTCTATTGGTGGCAGACATTAGGCTACTGTATATCTACAAGTAACTGGCCTTTTTTGATACTTTAAACCTGACCCATTTTGTTCTTCAAACAGGTATAAAGGACATAAGATGTACGTAGGCCTTCTACTTATACAGATCTGCTAAAATGACATGTTCTGTGGAAAAGCTGCCTGACAGAATAATCAGCTAAGTTTTATGATGATTTCCTACTTTTAAAGTGAGAATTATTTAGTATTTTACAACCATAATATACTTAATTAGTTTTAATGCTCCAGTAATATATCACAGACCAGCTATCCACAACTTTAACAGACCTCAAGAGGGCTGCATTGCATAACAAATCACACTTTGAGCTCAGACCTCAGGCTCTCAGGTTCCCATAGTTTGCTGTAACAGGAGATGGCATCATTTATGCGGCTCTCTGCAGGTGCCCTGTCTTCAAGATGATGGATGTTTTATATTAGAGTGTGGTGACAGCAGCTTATGTTTGTGTCTCTCTAAATGTCATCAAGTGTCATATTCAGTAATTTGCCATGAGAGCTGCAGAGTGACTCCACAGCTTTCAGACTGCTACTGACCTTCATTCCACTTTGTCACCCCTTTGTCTTTTCTGTCTTTGCTTTACATATCTGCAGACAGGGTGCTTTATTATCAGTGTGGTGTCTACTAATGCAACTTGGTGGACAAACGACGGTCAGAAACAAATGGGTACACATTACTCTGTTACTTATGAGGGTTTTAGGCTAGGCCAGGTTAAACCTTGTCACAAGCCACAGTACAAGTACACAGCCAGTGAAATACAGTTGGTATCTAACCAAAAGTACAAAATGCCTGTTTATAAATAAGTGCAGTAAAAAAAAGCGGAATTTGTTGTTTTCTCCGTAGATTTTTACCTGGCTTTACATTTGGCTTTCTGACTCATTTAAGTATTATATCTTGCCTTCTGGTCTGCAGATCATATTAGAGTAATAGCTGTTTTTCAGATACTGATTTTGCAGTTGTTTGCTTCTCAAGGACACTGCAGTGGAGAACAGTTTCTGTTAGGTAGTTGACGGTGTGATGTAGATGGAGTGCAAAGATGGGGAGTGTTAATGAACCAAGCACCTATTATTTGGTCCTATTCTGCTCTCTCTTTTGTGGGCTGTGGTTGTGTATAGATAGCACTTGCAGCCTGGGCGTCTGGAATCAATAATGGATGTAATTGGTGAAGTCAAAGTGAGGATAATTGAAGGTAATTGTGTGGACCATCACTAGCCTTAGAGTGAGGTCAAGATAACAGAGAGAAGTAGAAGGTGGTGAGGATGGAAGAAAATGATTATCACTGTAGCAAGTCTTATACATAGCATAATTTAACATACAATATATTTCCATGGTACTAATACCTCTGCGGTGTTCAGTTGTTACTTTTTAAAGCTACAGTTTTTAAAACCTAAAAACCAAAATACAAAATGCATCTTTAAAGCTACAGTTTTTAAAAGAGTTATCAACCTAAAAACCAAAATACAAAATGCATTTTTACCCCATGGACAGAGACCCCATACACTAAGTATATTGCACAGTTCAGATAAACTTTAATAAAGAAGTCAACAGTGATGAAGATCACAAATATTAAGCTAGGTCTTTTGCCTTTCTTTGTCCCCAAATGGCATAGACCAGCTCGGTTGGTAAACACTAGCATTTAGCACAGTCTACAGATAATGCATTATATGATTATATGACCCCTCTGTCAAGCTCCTAAAGTTTGCAGATGACACAACAGTCATTGGTCTCATTCGAGACGATGACGAGTCAGCCTACAGATGGGAGGTTGAGCAGCTGGTCCTGTGGTGTAGCCGCGACAACTTGGAGCTGAACACGCTCAAAACAGTGGAGATGACAGTGGACTTCAGGAAGAGCCCCCCCACCTTTTTTTCCCCCAGGCTGTTGCTCTGATGAACACTTAACCCACGACAGTATGACTGGACAATAACCCTCAGTGCAATACCTGTAAATATACCTCGTACAGATTATAGAGACTTGTACAGGTCTCTAGTTCTTAAGTACTCTGTTTTATCCCTAATTGTCTAATTTCATTGAACATTCCTTTGTTGTCTGCATTGTTTACTGTCTGTTTATACTGCTTTTTCTGCATTGTTTGCACTGTTTGTTGATGTTAATACAGCTATTTTGTTATATTACACAGCTTTATGCTGGTTTACTGTTTGCACATTGAGAGCTGATGTACCTGAGTCAAATTCCTCTTGTGTCCAACACACCTGGCCAATAAAGCTGATTCTGATTTCTGACATTTAAAGTTCACTTTTTAAATGGTTGAAACCATTTGGAGCTGCAGGTGTTGCCTTGTGCTACATTAATTTTAACAGTTTGTGATTCCCTCTGTATTAAATCTCTTGGGTTCCCAGGTAATTTTCAGTTCTCCTTAATATTTTTCTTGTCACTTAAACAGCTTTTACATGCTAGGATATCATGTTGCCACTCTGTGTGTTCTGTTTTTCCTTCTCATTTGTACAGCCATGTTATTGTACAGCTAAGGAGTTGTACTGTAGTGGTTCTTGGATGCTTGCTTTGCTTAAGGGCACCTTAACAGTAGCATGTGTGTACAGCTTATGTATTCACTTGTTTGGACTAAATAATTTCAGCCAGGAGATACAGTATTGTTCAAAATAATAGCAGTACAATGTGACTAACCAGAATAATCCAGGTTTTTAGTATATTTTTTATTGCTACATGGCAAACAAGTTACCAGTAGGTGCAGTAGATTCTCAGAAAGCAAACAAGACCCAGCATTCATGATATGCACGCTCTTAAGGCTGTGCAACTGGGCAATTAGTTGAAAGGGGTGTGTTCAAAAAAATAGCAGTGTCTGCCGTTGACTGTACAAACACAAAACTATGTTGTACAAACGTTTTTGTTTCTAGGATTTAGCAATCCTGTGAATCACTAAACTAATATTTAGTTGTATGACCACAGTTTGTTATAACTGCTTCACATCTGTGTGGCATGGAGTCAACCAACTTGTGGCACCTTTCAGCTGTTATTACACTCCATGATTCTTTAACAACATTCCACAATTCATTTACATTTCTTGGTTTTGCTTCAGAAACAGCATTTTTGATATCACCCCACAAGTTCTCGATTGGATTAAGGTCCGGGGATTGGGCTGGCCACTCCATAACATTAATTTTGTTGGTTTGGAACCAACACTTTGCTCGTTTACTAGTGTGTTTGGGGTCATTGTCTTGTTGAAACAACCATTTCAAGGGCATGTCCTCTTCAGCATAAGGCAACATGACCTCTTCAAGTATTTTGACATATGCAAACTGATCCATGATCCCTGGTATGCGATAAATAGGCCCAACACCATAGTAGGAGAAACATGCCCATATCATGATGCTTGCACCACCATGCTTCACTGTCTTCACTGTGTACTGTGGCTTGAATTCAGAGTTTGGGGGTCATCTCACAAACTGTCTGTGGCCCTTGGACCCAAAAAGAACAATTTTACTCTCATCAGTCCACAAAATGTTCCTCCATTTCTCTTTAGGCCAGTTGATGTGTTCTTTGGCAAATTGTAACCTCTTCTGCACATGCCTTTTTTTTTCCCCGGACCTTAATCCAATCGAGAACTTGTGGGGTGATATCAAAAATGCTGTTTCTGAAGCAAAACCAAGAAATGTAAATGAATTGTGGAATGTTGTTAAAGAATCATGGAGTGGAATAACAGCTGAAAGGTGCCACAAGTTGGTTGACTCCATGCCACACAGATGTGAAGCAGTTATAAAAAACTGTGGTCATACAACTAAATATTAGTTTAGTGATTCACAGGATTGCTAAATCCTAG